GTTTCAGTGTTTGTTGGGAATGTAGGAAGAGAAAAGTCCACTTGCAATATTTTTATTTTTTTTTAAATTAGTGCATTAGATTTGCAGTTCTGTTCTCAGGATTGTGTTCAGAGTGCACATTTTAAAACAGCATCTGCATTCACTTATGAACTAATATAAGTATTGCCTTAATCTCATGTATACGTGTTTGGAGAAAATACATTTTATTTTTTGTAATCAACATTCTAGTAACTAAGTAACTGCATCAACACGTAACTGCAATTTTTATTTGACTGCAACTTATTTTGCAGCTTGATTATTTATTTTTATCAAGTCAACAGTTCCTGTGAGGCACTGCTCTCTGCAAATAAAGAGAAGAGCCAACAGTACATAACAAGATTATTACAGTCAGTTATATAGTCATTTTAATTTTTAATTACAGGGATATATTGGCAATTCTGTAAATAGTTAGACAATGTAATGTAAAGTGTAATCATCCAAAATAATTATTAGAACTGTTACTTGTCCAGTAATAGATTTAAGATTAGGTAGATAATACATTAACTAGATATAGATGGAAAGAGGTTGTTTCATTGGATTTTACTGTTCACCTTGTGATTCTAATCACATTGGTGGTGCTGTTAACTCTGGTGATCACTTTGTTCAGGTTTTGTCAAGTTGTTCTGACATGTGTCTCTGTCAAGGATCAATCTGGGACATGAAATGTTCATGATGCCTATTTTACAGTCTGATTCCAAATCTGTTTTCCTACTTCAGAGATTTCTCATCTCCTGCTTCTTTGGCAAGAACACATCCTTTTTGAGAATAGTTTTTAAGACATAGATGATCAGAGATCATCAATGTGCGCACAGCCATAAGAAAAGTATCAGCATTTCCGCCCTGTGAGGATCTGAGCAGAAGTCCTGTCCTCTAGGACGCTGTTAGCTGTCCCTTCTCTTTGCTCTCTGCTGCATTGCACACTCTTTAGCATTCAGCCTCAGCATTACACCTGGAGCAGCGAACTGATCTGAGCTCCGATCAATGATTGATATGGCACCAGATGTTTCCCGCAGACAGTTTGGATGAGCGCGCGCACAGGCAGCACAGGTCTGGCCCTCGTGAGGAGAAAATGGGCTCAAATGAAAAGCCATTTCATAAAGCACACGCTGACATGACGTGGCCCGCGTCCAGCGTGAGCCTCAGATGTGCTGAGGATGAGAGCAAAGCATTACACGCCTCCAGCCCATGGACCTACAGCTTCAGTGTAAAACACTCGAGGCTCAGAGCGCGCGACGCTCCGGGAGAGATGCGGACGCTGGTGCATTCATTAAGAGGGAAAGCTACACATCAGCTGCATACATTAGCTCCACGGAGGAAAATGGACGCCTAACATCAAAAGGCACATCTCCAGAGACTGGAGCATCATCGCGTAAAGACGCACATGTAACTCCGAGCTGACACGGTTAAAGCGCCCCATTATCTCCTATGCAGAGGCAAGAGGCATCCTAATCAATTATCAGTCTATTACTGTGCTCATCCTGCATGGAACGCGGATGAAGGTAATTATAGGCCCGTGTAAAAAGACGCAGTTTTCTTATAAAACATGGAGGTCCGTCCACTAACTAAGCCACAGAGTGTTGCTGCAGATTCCGAATGTGTCATTTGTTAAATGGTGATGTGTGAGTTGAACACAACGTGAGACAAATCAATTAACCACGTTAACGAATGAACTGGGTCCAGGAGATTATGGAGTAGCCAGAAGACACACAGTAATTAAAGTGAGGGAAGAAGGCAGGTCTTACCTGAAGGCTTAGCTTATTATTCAACTATTCTGCAGCGCGTCGCTCTCCCAGGGAACGCGGGAACTGAACGGAAATAAGGCTCTAAATGACAAGTCTGTAGTGGAGGAAAATGATGCAAAGAAAATGAGGATAAACATGTATCAGGCGCTCGCTTAGGAGTTGTGAGGTAATAAATGACCGTGACGGAAAAGGCTTGAACGTGCATAAAGCAGAGCACACGTCACTGAGCAGTGGTTTGTCCAGTCTCAGCCGTGCACTGGGGGGAATGCGTCTCCCCCTGCGCGCTGATTGGTCCGTGCCTTGGCTCCTGCGATCTTCTTCCCGCCTGCCCGAGAATCTGCTCCTCTTTCTAATTCTTCCACGTTCCCCGACGCAGGCAACTTGTCGCATAGACCCCCAGAAAAAGGACAGTGAGGTAACGCCCCATCCGACACAGACCCAAACCTAAGCGCGAGGCTAACGCGTTAGCCCTTCCTCCATCATATTGGCCTGCTTGTGCTTATTGGAGCGTGTGCAGCGTGCTCACTACAGCCCCCTGTGCCTCAGTAAGTAGACTATTAGCCCTGACCAGGTTATGGCAGTTATTGACATCTTTTTCCCCATGCAGAGCTACTCCACTGGGACCGTCCTCCCTCTGTGCTGCTGATGGACGCTTGTACCTCTGGGAAACGCACACCAAAGTATCTAACAGGTGTAGTATTTGCTGATCAATATGTCAAAGCAAATAGAGCTTATAATGGACTCTCCCAGCCAATTATGTCTCAGTAGTGAATTTATGAAGTTATGTCATGGATCCATACGGCGAGATGCACAAAGTGAGCGGACAATGACCTTCAGTAGCTTTAGAGTGGGCCTGTGCCTCTTACACACACACAGGCAGAGCTAATGCAGACTGACGGCTCTTTCATGCGGTAATGGTGATGTGAAAGAGAAATCCACTCAGCCCTCACTGCCACACACACACACAGAGAGACACACACACACATGCACACACACACACACACACAGACATACACACACACACACACACACACACATACATTATAGACACAGGCAGGCGCTAAAATCACATGTGGACAATGAGCTCCTAATAGGCTAATACATAAAAAGATAAATGGTATTTTAAAAGAGGCTTGTGACCACAAAGGCAGTCTCTGTTGGAGCTGTTTCTGAGCTGTCATGTTCATTATGATCCCTGCACCATCAGAACAGGGCTCTGTGTGCTGGTATTGATGTGTGGATGACATGTGGAGCTCTCACATCCTAATGTAACATTAGCACTTTCACACTGTCACAGTTATTTAACATGGCCTGACCTTGACTAGACTATTCAAATGTGTTTAAAGGCTACATCTTCACAATCGTGTTTGTGCAAAGCTTGAATTACAAATGTACATTATCAGGCTGGTGTAGCATATGCACCACATGTTCAGTGTGTTTTTCATTCCCATGTCTCTAAACAGTGACAGAGTGGCTGACACATGTCCGCTCACATGCTCTAACATACAGCAGTGATCAATTGCAGCCTGAGGCTTTTTGCACACACTGAGGAGGAAGCACCAGAGCCTCTGCAGTGCAGAGCTCTCCACATGAACCACAGAGGTGCACGGAGGCTAGTCTGAGTCATGAGTATACTGGTCATTATAACAGAAGACGATTACTCTCAGAAGACAGATACGAGTGACAGGAAAAGTGTGGAGCTCAGCATAAACTCTCTCATGAGATGAAGCATGTGTGGTTTGCACTAAAAGCTTTAATTGTATTGAAGCATTCGTACAAAGAACCATGTACAAAAACAGTTCTGCTGAAGCAGAGCCACAGCCCTGTGTGACTCAAAGCTCATGGTGTCTCTATTGGCATGGAACTGCAGTGCAGGCTAACTCTATGATGGCACAAGCCATGCTACAATAACCTAAGGGTGTGAGGGTGTCATTTTACAACTATAGGTTTAAATCTATTCAGCTTATGTGGAGGTGCCATTGAGCAAGGCACTACTTAAAATAGCCAAAACAATTGCAAAGTTATTTCTTTTATAAAGCAGCATTGCTTCACTAAAGTCTTATATGAACCTTACATAAACTAAACATTGCATCGATGTAAAATATGATATTCCATATTCCCCGTAGTCCATATCTTAACAGCCTCACAGTGATAATAAACCTACCCTGTTCTCTGGGGCACAGTGGTGTTCATCAGAGTCATACATATACATACACACTGTTACACTCATGATATGCAGCGCTGTCTTTTGTAAATCTCACTATAAAATCTTGCACTATGTATTATTTAGCTATTGAATAGCAAATCAATGACTAAATACTTATAAGTATAATAAATCCTGTATGTTGATGTCCAGCATTTCATGAGCTGATTTTCTCTACATGTCCTATAACAAGGTTTACAAAATAACCTCTTTGTATTTGTTTAAATCTGTCTTCAATATACATCATTACCCAGCTCATTGTGTTCTGTGCTTCATAATCAGTGAGTTTCTCCAGTCCACTGAATGTTCTGCTCACTCAGGCCTGGGGCTGGTGCAGGGTCAGTGCAGGGCCACGGCCAGCAGAGGGCGTCAGACTGCTGTCAGAGTCCGGAGTGTCACTCACAGAGTCCAGAGGGTGTGCCTGTGTCAGACCAGCATCAGTCACAGTGCAGAGTTTCATTCATGATTTACTGCAGTGAAACAAACTGTCGTGTTGCATCTCTGTACAGGTCTGTAGCTTCAACAAAAATAAGTTCTGCTATTTCTCTGTCCATTTTGCATAACTGTTTCACCACTCACTTGTGCTGCCCCCCCGCTGTGTGATCTTCATTATAGCCATAGAGTTGATGAAAATATGATATAAAAATGAGAGGAGTGTAGCACAAATATCTGTAACATCTGCTGTCATAGAAAACTGTGAAATATTAAACTTTAATCTTTTTGCTTTGTACATTTCCAAGTGCACACTGTTTTCCCGCAGCACTGCAGCATGTTGGTATTCTGCTGCAGACCCCAAACCCCCCCCCCCCCCCCCCCCTCTCTCTCTCCCCCTCTCTCACTCACCCTCCCTCTCCCATCTCTATCCTCCTCTCTCCTCATCTTCACTGTCACTCTTAAGGTTTCAGAAAATATACTCAAGTTCACATAATTCTCCTTTCTTCTGTGCAGTCCCATTCACCAAATCAGTTCTGTATAGATGAAAATGAAATCCAGTGTCCCTCTTTCTGTCTGCAGTCTTAGCACGGTGAAGCTCCCATGTGGATGTGTGCGTGGTAGTGCGGGGGTGGTACCGGAGAGGGGGGCACGGCCAGGGGTAGAGCCTGGCCTTGGGCGTGAGAGCCCCTGGGCAGTGTGTGCGTGCCCGTGTAGCCTCCAGACTGAGCGGGCATGTTATAACTCCCAGCCGAAGATGACGCAGAGGGTGGACTCCCCGTGGCTGCTGACCCCTGCCCCCCTCTGGACTGTTGCAGGTTGGCTTTGCCCGCAGATGGGGGGGTCTGGTTGAGCTGGATGGAGATGTCACTGGACCCTTCCGACGTGCTCCTGCCTCTCTTTGGGTGGGGAGGGGGCCAGGTGGTCTCCGGGTGCAGGTACTGGCCGCTGTAGTCGCTGCTCTCGGACATGCGGGGGCGGTAGAGGGCTGGGTGGGGGCGGTACATCTCCTCCTCTGCGTAGCGCTTCATGAAGAGGTAGACGGACAGAACCCCAGCCCCCTGAGACACACAGACATCAGGTTTAAAGTAAGAGCTGTTGCAGATTAGATGAGACAAGAACAAGAAACTAGCATCAATAAACCAAGACGGGAGAGTAGAGCTCAAATGATCAAAGATGACATCATTACTGTATACAATAATGCATTTTAAATAAAGGTTAAAGGGCCCATTTTACACTATATTCTGATCTATGTTATGTTGTTTCCTCATCAAAAATATACCTGGGGTTTTATTTGGTTTCATTCACACATGTTTAACACACAAATTCTGCATATTTAGGCTGATTTCTCAAACAGATACCACCATGCAATGCCATATGGTAAAACAGGAAGTGCTCCACTGTGTTTTTAAACTCCATACACCTTCACTAGAATCATTTGGATAATTTCAGCCCTGAAACTGTCAATCTCTACTGAATAAAAGGTAAAAGGTAGCTGTTATGAAAACTACACCTTGATGACAACACAAGGTGGAACAGAGCATTTTGAGCTTTGGAAATAGAGGCGGTGCTATCATTTGGCAAAAGTAGGTGGCTGCCTAGGGCCCCCAAACCTGGAGGGGCCCCCAACAGATTAGATGAAGCCTCAGAGCAATTAGATTTTCTCTCAATATGACATCAAATGAGAGTAGTTTACCTTTAAACAATAAGCATAATAAAAGTAATAATAATCATATGTAATGGGTGTAAACAAAAATTTTATTGTACATGCAAAAAAATAAAACTACTTTCAGTTCTGGTTATTTAGTAGGCAACCAAACTAATAAGACAAGTTTCCAATCCACCATAATTCAAATAAAAAGAGATGTGCATGTCTCAAGAAGAATGGGGAAAAACAGACAATAAATATATTTAAAAATCTAAACAAAAAATTGTGCATCATAGTGTGGGCCCCAAATTCAAGTTCACTTAGAGCCCTAAAATTGCTAACTCTGCCACTGTTTGGAGATGTAGACAGACTAATAAAGGATTTCTGTAATGTGTAAATTAAACACAACTCTGCTCAGGTTTTTGACATTGCCAGATCACAATATACTGTAGGTAATATAGGATCTTCGAATAAAGAATAAATAAAGTGAGTACAGTGCAAATTTCGCTCATCTGGCCAAGATTTCAAAACTTATATCAGGTTATTTATCTTGTTTTCAACTTTTAATATCTACTTACTAGTTCTGAGATGCTTAATTCTAGTCTAGAGGTAGTTTATTTTAAGATAACTTGCTGCATGGACAGATAATTTCACTACTTTTAAGTCATTTTCTGATAGATTTAAGTGTTTATATCTTAAATTTGACTAAGCCTTTTTGCAGTGTACATAGAAACTACTCAAATGAAGATTGATATTCAGAATTCAAGCCATTTTAACTAAATTAGATACTTCTTTTTCACACATGCTTGGCGTCTGCTCTATCTATGCTTTTGAAACAGCACCAGTTGGGGCAGTTATTCTTGGAAACGATCTGAGTTTAATTAAGCCTAATTTATCTCAGCTCCGCGACACACAGTTTAAAGTAAAAGCGGTTTGAGATCAGATGTGACAAGAAACAAGAACTAGCATCAATAATCCAAGAGATTTACGTCAAGACTGCAGAGAGGGACAGAAACGCAAATGATCAAAGATACCACAATTATACAATAAAGGAGTATACAATTAGTTGATGAAAAATTATCCTAATAACAATAAGATGTGATAGGTTTACTGAAGAATTTTACAAAAAAAGAGTGAACGACAGTTTAAAATTAAAACATTCAGCATATAATTTTATACCATATATATTACTCTGCAGGCTTACTTATGTTTACGCTTTAAAGGCCCCAAAATACACTGTTTTCTGATCTATGTTATTATGTTTCCTCATCAAAACAGACCTGGAGTTGTGTTATATTTCTTTCACAAATGCACAAACCCTGCATATTTACTCAAAATTCTTGTCTCTGTTCTACTTTGTGATATCATATGGTAATACAGGAAGTGCTCCATTGTGTTTTCACACTCCATGCACCTTCACTAGAATCATTTGGATAATATAAGTCTAGGAATTGTAGTTAACTTTAAATCTACCACTTGACACATGACATCATAAGAAGGAACAGAGCATTGAGATAGAGACAAATAATAAAAAGTTACTCAAACATGAATGGGAATCAAACAACACAACTTGGGGTCTGCTTTTTACAAGGTAACAACATTATAACATAACTTAAAGCTCACAACTCAATTTTGCGTAATGTAGGACCTATAATCAACTTTTTGCAATAAAAAAAATAGCTATTTACTGTAGAAAACACTTTCAGTATTATCAGTATTTTGATTTTGATAATTTATAGGGATGTAACGATATCCAAATCTCTCAATATGATATTTATTGCGATATTTTGTGGAAGAACAAAATATTCTACTTTTCTGTCATAATCCAAATCCAAATTAAGATTTAAACGTGCTTAATAACAGTTGTTTTATCATGTAGACTGGACTAAAACAGAGCAAAGGATCATGGTCTGTGTAGTTCTGTCTGTTTTTTAGCTGTTGCTGCACCATAACAATGAATTTAAGCAAAGAGACTTGTAATTTTATATATTGTGATACTATTGTGAGACTTTTGATGATACAATATTAAGATATTTTGGTTATTGTTACATTCTAATCATTTATAGACCAGTGCCATCACCTTTGTGGCTACAGCATTGGATACAAATTAAAAACTCAAAGTGAAATTCCACAAGTTTTATTCCTAGTCAGAATGTGTCTTTTTCTGTTCTTCTGTAACCCCTAAGACTGTGAAGTGAACTACTACAATCATATTCTGACCTCCTTGAGCAGGAAGGAGGACGCGGCGAAGGCGAAAGACCAGCCATAGTGGTAGTTGAAGAACTGCTCTGGCTCCCGGGGTCGATTCATCACCTCATCGTTTATACTGGAGATGTACAGGACCAGACCCACCACCAGACTCAGGCCTGTAAGACACACACACAGGGACATAATGTAGGCGATCATTTAAAATCACCAGCTCCACACGTGCTAACACTAATAAAGACACATACTCTCATTATAATGGCATGAACATTCATTTAATTTGACTATAAGATAAGAACAGGAAATTAATTCAAAGTCATTAATCATTTAGACCAGTGATTCTCGAAGGTTTCACACTAAATCTAGCTCAGAAATATAATCTTGTTTCAGGGCTTGTTCATTTATTTTGCTAATTAAAGGTGCATGATGTACATTTTCGTGTGGAGGGTACGCCACCTGCTTGGTTTCATGAAGATATTATTATTTTGTCTCAAATATTCCATAGTATTGTTGTGGTTTTAAACTAATCTTTCTCCATGGAGACAGGCAGACGCTACATGGACATGGACCAAGTTATAAGTTAGATCTACAAAATGAATGCAGGTGTATTTAGAAAATATCTGTAATTACATATATGCACGATGAATAAGTTTAAAGCCATAATGTGAAATCATCCAGGTAGTGAACCCTCCCCCTTTAAAATTACATAATGTGCCTTGAAAGAGCGCATATTGGACATTTTTTATCTATCTTATAATGCTGTTTTCTCATCAGAGACATAACTGGAGTTGTGTTTTGCTTCATTCACACGTGTTCTTCTCTCAAACAGAAAAAAACTATTTTACCTTGTGATGTCATGTGCTCCACTGTGCTTTTAAACTCCACACACCTTCACTAGAATCATTTGAGTTAAGTCCTGAAACTGCCCATCTCTACTGAACAAAAAGTAAAATTAACTTGAAAAATGAAATAGAGCATTTTGAGCTTTGGAAATGTAGACAGACTACTAAAGCAGGATTACTCAAACGTGTGAATGAAACAAAACACAACTCCATGTATATTTTCGATGAGGTAACAATATTTTAACATGGTTTAAAGCTCACAAGTTAATTTGGTGTAATATATTTAAGTAGGAGAGCTCTGAGAACTAGCCTGATTCATCAGCTGGTTTCACTTTGTAGAAACCATCTGACCTCGCAGTGTTAGAATTCATTCGCTTGACGGTAGGCGAGTAGTTTTTTTTATTTAACCAGTCGCTGCTTTTTGGTCAGGGCGTATGTAATGCGCCGCTAACGGGGCTAACTGGTATATTAAGCTTTTCCCAAATCCCGTAGGATGAAGGACAATAACGTCTTTCCCCTTGATAAAATTCACCAAACATTCGCTTTGTTCCAACTTTAAATCCTCGATTTCGGGAATCGTTGACAACACAAAATGTATAGCTTTTTGCTGATTGGCTGGTGTCTGAACTCGCACTTCCAGGGTTTTAGCGAATCATCTAGTGTATTCCGACTCGTAACCTAGTCGCTGGAGGGAAATGAAATTGAACAGAGGCACTAGGTGGCGCCAGCCTGGCTACCTGAGAATCACCAGTACAACAGAAAGCCTTTATTGTCATTATACACAGTGTAATGAGATACAGAGCTGCTCCTTCAAAGTGCACTCAGCAAATTATAATAAAATATAACAATATGATAAAAGTAAAACTACTATCAACTACTAACTACTGCACATATACAATAAAACTTGAGCAAAACCCACCAGGGGTACACAGACAGACCATACCATACCAGTCCCTTAATGACGTACAACACAAAAAAGGTGCAAAGGTGCAAGCATATCAGTTTGCGTTTGCTCTTAGCTGGTAGTTATAAATAATTTTTTTATAAAGTTTTGTTGATTTATTCCCATTTTTATACAAAGCAAAAGTTTTTAATGTTTTTTATGTACTCAAACTAATCATCCAAACAGAAAGCTGAATGAATATCACTCTGTGGATGCCAGCTTCATCTTAAACCAACTCAGGTTTTTGCTCACAATATATGGCTGTAATGGATTTTTAATCAGTTGGAGCACATCAAAGAAACATTTCCAGAACAACACAAGGTCACAAAAGCTTTCTCTGAACACATAAATACTGCACTATTCACTTAAACCTGATGAAATGATTGGCCATACATCCGCATTGCCTCCAAAGCCTTAAGGAAAGCATACAAGATTAAAGTCCCACCTCTTTATCCAGTCTTCACTATGTTTAATGCATGAGTTTCGACATATGGTCAACATCAAAGAATCAATATTGAACAAAAGCTGATGTAGCCAGTGCCTATGGAGGTATTTATAGACCATGGCACATTTAAATGCTACACACTGGAGCACAGCGGGTTAAAAGGCACCAGAGCCAAGTCAGAAACATGAGGAAATGCACAAATCATGCTCCTGTCAAACGCGACGTGGGTCTTTAAATAAATGAGGAAGAGCAGAGGTACACGAGCATATTTGTCTTTGAGTCAGCGCAAGAACATGTCAAAAAAAGAACATGGGTTAGGGGGAGAAATGGGATTGAAAACAGAAAAGTGTTTAGAGAAGAGATAGTGGTATGTTTTTTGGAAGTGCTAGTCAAGTCTTTACACTAAAATGAACCGTGTGAGAGTCTCAGTGTTCAGCAGTATCAGTGTTTCCAATTTGAAGTTGACATTTTTGAACATATGAACTATAATAGTGTTTTTAGTAAAGTTTTGTCCAGTTGACACAATTTAATTTTCTTTTGCTTTGGACCTACTTGAACCTACTATAAGAAACTTCTTCCCATTCATGTCAAGTGATGTTGAATGCAGTGGTGGGGGTCCGTCACCTGCTTGTTTCCATGGATATGTCATTACCCTGCCTGAAATGTTCCACACTTTGACATTAACCAGCTTTACTTTACATTTATAAAATTAGAGGGGGTTATATAGCTCAAAAATACCTAGAAAAACATGCATTCTGATTGTGAGCAGGGTTGCCTCTCCACAGATCTGACCTATAACTTGTTTTTGGTTTGGTCTCCATGAAGATAGAAAGGTTTAATACTGTACTGTGAAACATTAGATGGACCCTCCTCCAGAAAAGTTACAGAATGCACCTTTAAGTATGAGTTTTATGTATCTATACATTTACTTAAGTAGATTTGAAAGTGGGTACTTTTTATGTTGGCTTCACTACATTTGAGAGTAAGTATTTCTTTTTACTAAGTTGCTAAAAACTCTGGGGTTTATTTTTAACATAGTTTGAACACAAATATACAAAGAAAAAAGTTTAGGAGAAAAATCTAAATCTGTGGGAAATACTGTTACTTTTTAAATCTTTAAGTACATTTCTAAATGGGCACTTTAATACTTTTACCTAAGTAAATTTTTAATGAAACTTTAACTTTTACGTAAGTATTATTTGCACCCGTATCTGTACTTTTACTTAAAAAAAATTGAGTATGTGTGTGTATGTGTGTGTGAAAACTTTAGTGGAAAATTAATATTGATGTAAAGGATATACAGCAGGACATAACAAAAGTGAGAATTCTAACTTTAAATACATGACAAGTAAAGTCTAGTACTTAGAAGTAATCATTCCTCCAAAGTGACTTAACATATTCATAATAAAATAGGCTACTTTGCAGTGAAGACGTGAAGAAAGGTAAATAAAAGGTGAGCATAAGTAGCTAATTTAATGTGATTAGATCGCAACTATAGCTACTAGGGATGTAAAGATATCCAAATCTCACGGCACGATATCATCACGATATGCATCTCATGATACAATATTTGTAGCAATATTTCGAAGAGACTGATGTAATTGTAGATAAAACACTTTTTTGCTTTTAAAATACCTTGACACGATTTTGGTGTGAATTATTTTCATCATAATCCTAAGAATTCAAGTAAAAAACATATTTCTTCATGCTGTCTGTGCTGAAATGAATCATGGGATATGAAGTTTCCTATATTTATAAGCTGTTGCTACTATAAAACCATGCATTTAAGCAAAGAAACTAGTGATTCAATATATATCACCAATTTAAAAATGTGTAAACTTGTATTTGTATTAAATATTTACTTTTTTGACAAATGTACAATTAATATTTTCCATAAATCTGGACAAATGATCAAAAATTCTTCCCCATATTTACTAATTCAGCTTCTCTTAAGACTAAACTGGATAATTAATTAGCCCACACTGAATTAAACTGTCAACCCAAAAAGAAAGATTAGACAATAGCTGGCTTTAGTAAGATGGGATCATTATACCACAGCACAGCTCATCAAATTAAAGGCTGCGACACTGGCCGTAAACGTTACATAATGGCGTTACGTAAGCGCCAGGAGGACTCCGCTTGAGCGTGTGTCAGTGCTACGGTGCGTCAAAGCCTGTCCACAGCGCAGAGTGCATAACGCAGAGCAGACACTTTCTTAAACGAGTCACGGGATCGCTCCTTTATTATAACTCCAATGTCAATTTAGCTCCCCACTATCAGCGCTGCACCGGCGAGGCGAGAAGAGAAGCGGAGAGAGCCATCTGCTGTTCACAAACACGAACTGCAACTGTGCCCACATAGAATTACTACACTCAAATAAAACAGGAATTCAGCCTTGACATTGGTCAGTGATGTATTGAGATGAAGGCTTAATTTTCTGCTCATGCTCCTTGATAATAAAACCTTGATGAATTATAGATCGAGCAATTAAAATACATCATTCTAATTTGTTCCAAGGTTAAAATGTGTGTCAAATTCAAGATTAATGCACAAATTTAAACAGCAAGGTCACTCCAATTGTGAACTGGGCAGCACAGAAGCAACAGGCCTGTATAAGCTTTAAAAATATGCAAAATAAAACAAAAATATGATTAATGAAAGTAATTGAAACTACCAAACTTACTAATAATTCACCACTGTGCGAAGAATAGTTTCACAAATATAGACATACTCAATACACAGGATAAAAACATGCAAGTAGAATAAAAAGTAAATATATATAAAGCAAAAAAAAAGGGACTATAGGTATGTTCATGCTTTAGAATAACAAATATAAGTGTGAAAAGTTGCCAGTAGATTTCAGTAGTAATCATATTTGCAGTGTATTGTGATCGTTACTGAAGGTGTAAACGTGTTGCACTGTAGTGTCGTGACCTGAGAGGATGAAGAAGATGCCGGAGACGAAGGCCAGGATGGTGCGCTGTGGCCGGATGTGTCCGATGTTACTGATGACAAAGGCAGTGAAGACGAAGAGCAGAGACACCATGGGGAAAGGAGTGGCTGTGCGCACCATTTCTGAGGAGCACAAAGGGGCAAGTCAGCAAGAAATACTGCTACTACTATTGCTGCTGCTACTACTGCTACTGCTACTACTGCTACTACTACTACTACTACTCTTTCTAATATATAAGGGGCATTTACGTCAACATTTTATATTCTGACAAGTACACAGAGGTTTATTTCACCTACAGTGAAATAGAGAAAGGGATATTTTGATCTCCCTTTATTAAAAATTTACTATATGACATTTGTTTTGGACGATTTTGCACCTGCTTGTCTCCATAAAGAGATAAGAAATAGACAAGTTTAAGTTTAGTCACACTGTGGAATATTTTGAACAAAGCAATAACATGTCCTCCACCAGAAACGTTACATAATGCAAACTTTAAAATATACCTACTCAGAATATTTGCAGTGTTTTCTGTGGTGATTTCAATGTCTGGTTCGGTGAAATATTCAGACGCTACACACCGTCCGTTTTCTGATCCTGTTTGGAAACAAAAACAAAAAAAAAAAAAAACAGTTACAGTGAATAGTGGCAATTGTGTGATGAGGCATGACGCAAGAATATTGTGCAAGTATTCCACTTTTATCAGAAATAGCAAAAAGAATCAAGCATGTTTTTGTAAACGCTGATGTTGGAACAATGTGAAATAAAAAAAAATACACTACCAGTCAAAAGTTTTACAATACCGAATTCCAATGAGGAGCTTGAAATGGTATAAAGGTAAGAACTGAACAGCCAGAGGTTTAAAAAATAGATAAAAGATAACAAAACACAAGTCCAAGCTCTGCCAAAACTACCTCAGGAAAAAAGAACAAGATGGTAAAGCTTGAAAATCCTGGAGTGTCCAGCACAGTCTCCAGACTTAAACCCCATCGAGCTGGTTTTGGGATGAACTGGACAGAAGAGTGAAAGCCAAGAAACCTACAAGTGCCACACATTTATGGAAACTTCTGCAACAGACTTGGGAAGAACTTTCTGAAGAATATTTGATTTCTATTGTAAAAAGAACGAGCCACGAGTGTGTTCAGCTGTTATATCTGCCAAAGGTGGACACTTTCATGAATCAAAAGTTTAGAATGCGTTTTGGTCAACAGTAAACAGTAAAAAAAAATGGAAAAAGCGTGGTGTTCTAAAACTTTTGACCAGTAGTGTAATAAAAAAAAACTAAAGATCTGAAAGTAAAGTTGAGATTCAATGTAATTTATTTTAGAGACAGTCTTTAGTTATTCCTTAATTCTTTAATAATAATAATGCTTTGGATTTATATTTTGAGGCGCTCACAGTTTAGAGTGCATTTTTCATTCTTTCCAGTGGTGGTAAGCTCCTATTGTAGCCACAGCTGCCCTGGGACTGACTGACAGAAGCGAGACTGCCAATCTTTACTATTACATATTCATATTAAAGTGAATGAAGTGCCTTGCTTAAGGACACAGCATCAGTTTCCACAGAGAAACACTGTGACATTGTGGTACTCTGAGTTCTCTCCCGACTATCTTATGAATTATTATGAGTCCATTTTCTATGCAGGTTAGTTTTACATTTGCACGATTCCTTGTGGAGCGTTTCAAACCACTTTCCGCTCTTCCGTGACCCCTGACCTCTGCTCTGTGTACATCTTGGCGAACATCTGTCTCTGCCCGGAGGCTTACACCCGTGGAACAGTGGTTGTGCGCTCGGCTGCTCCGTACCGGCCACAAAGCAGACCCTCCACAGGCCCGAGTGCAGCGCCATCTTCACCTCCATGCTCTGGTTCTGCTGCAGGATGATGCCCTCCACCATGATGAGCCAGTAGTCGGTGGAGACGGCCACGCCCACCAGCAGCAGCCCGCACGCCCCGAACACCGTGGACAGGATGGTGAGGGCACGGCTACTGCACGAACTCATCTGGAACCATACGAGATAAGACAAGAGGTGAGCCAAAGGAAATCTGATTTATACCGACTGAAATATAACGTGTCTCAAAGCAAGATTTAAAACTACCTGGGTTCAAGTCATTTCTGTGATCTCTTAAACTTTTGTAGCCTGTATTTTAACTTAAAGCAACAATGTGTAACTTTAGGAGGTCACCTAAAGGATGTGCAAATAAAAATGAGGTTTATAACGACCGAAATATAATGTTTTACAAAAATACTAGCCTCTCAGTGAAAGATTTTAAGCCATGTAGGACTGAGCTTTCTCTGTGTCTTTAAACAAACATTAACCTTTTTGTAGCCCATATTTTAACTTAAAGCAACAATGTGTAACTTTAGAAGGTGACCTAAAGGATATGCAAATAAAAATCAGGTTTATAATGATTGAAATATAATGTGCTTTACAAATATTCTAGCCTCTTGCCTCTCAGTGAAAGAGTTTAAGCCACCTGGGACTGCTGTTTCTCTGTGATCTCTAAACAAACATTAACCTTTTGTAGCCCATATTTTAACTTAAAGCAACAATGTCTAAATTTAGAAGTTGACCTAAAGGAAATGCAAATAAAAATCAGGTTTATAACGATTGAAACATAATGTTTTACAAGCCTCTCAGTTAAAGATTTTTAAGCCATGTAAGACCGAGTTTTCTCTGTGATCTCTAACAAACATTAACCTTTTGTAGCCCATATTTTAACTTAGGAGGTGACCAAAAGGATATGCAAATAAAAATCTGGTTTATAATAATGACTGAAATATAATGTTGCTTTACAAATATATTAGCTTCTCTATGCAAGATTTTAAACCACCTGAGACCGGACTTTCTCAAACATTAACCTTTTTTGTAGACCATATTTTAACTTAAAGCAACAACGCAGAACTAAAAACGTGAGCTCAAAGATATGCAAAGTGATCAGATTTATAATAATAATCTTTACAAACACACTATAGTCCTGGATCTCCAACCTGTAGCTCTCCACCTCCTTCTGAGTAGCTCACTAAGGGATTTCAGAATTATAACATTGTGCTGAATAACAAAAAAAGTTGTAAATATTTTGAAGCCCAACTTTCTGAGCTAATAAATGGACAGTGGTTTGTGTTTTACAGGCATGTAATTGTACCCCAAAGCTCGCCATCTTTCTTATAATCGTCTCAATTTCTTGCAACTGCTAAAATGAGCGGCTCTCTGGCATTTTCGTTTAGTAAAAGTTCATCGGAGGAAAAAGGTTGAAGACCCCTGTTATAGTTCATCAAAGCAACTTCTCTGTGGAAAAAACAAAACAAAAAACATTAACCTTTTGTAAACTATATATTAAAGCAACACTGAGTCACTTTCTGGATTTGGTACTTTAAAATTACAACTATACTGTGGAACATTCTTCATGGAGATAGATGAGTTTTCTGCCTTCGTGAAGACCAAGTCCGATTTGCGGAGATGCAAGCGTGCGTAGAGTAAAGATGCATGTTTTTGTACGCTTCTGTTCAACATTTTTACATTTAAAAAGAAAAAAGTGGGTCTTTTAAATCACGTTGTTAATCGAATATTAAGTTGTTGTTGTTTTTTTCATGAAGACCTGTTTTTTGTCCATAAAAAGGAGGTCACCGTGAACTGAGTCGGTCAAACCTCCAAACAGCCCCCCGCGGTGAACTGTTTTAAGTCTCGTCTTAAGACTCTCACTCTTTTATTCTATTCATCTTTGCCCTGATTAAGAAACAGATGACAGAGGTGCGGATGACTCACCCTTCTCTCTCTCTCTGTCTCTTCCTTCCCTCTTACTCTCTTCCTTTCTCTCTCTTCTTCCTTTCTATGTCTCATTCTCCGTTTTCTTTTACTCTCTCCCTCTACTTTGTCTCTTTCTTTCTCTCTTTCCCTCTCTGTCTCTTTACCCATCTCTCCATCTCCTCTCTGTTTTATTCTTTCTCTACCTTGCCTTCTCTATCTCTCCCTCTCTTTCTCTCTTCCTTTCTCTCTCTTCTTCCTCTCTCTCTCTCTGTCTCTTTCTCCTTTCCTTTTTCTCTCACCCAGTCTTCTGACTCTCTTTCCTTCTCCATCTCTTTACCCAGCTCTCCCTCTCATTCTCTCTCTCTCCCTCTCCTCTCTTCTTTCCCTCTTTTGCTCTCTCCCACCCCTCTCACTCTCTCCCCTCTTCTTTTCTTTCCCTCTCCATCTCTCTGTCTCTTTACCCATCTGTCCTTCTCCTCTCTCTTTCTCTCTGTCCTTTTCTCCCTCTCCTCTCTCTTCCTCTCCTCTCTCTTCCTTTTTCTCTCTTATTACTCTCTCTGCTTTGCCCTCTCCAGCTCTCCCTCTCATTCTCTCCTCTCTCACTCTTCTTTCCCCCTCTTGCTCTCTACACCCCTCTCCCTCTCTTTATTTCTCTCTCTTCTTCCTCCCTATCTCTTTCTCCTTTTCTTTTTCTCTCTGCCTCCCCTCTGTCTCTTTCTCTCCCTTTCGCTCTCCATTTCTGTCTCTTTACCCATCTCTCCTTCTCCTCTCTTTCTCTCTATCCCTATCTCTCTCTACCTTGCCCTCTCCATCTTTCTCTCTATCTTCTCTCTCTTCTTTCCATCTCTTGCTCTCTACCCCCTCTCCCTCTCTTCCTTTCTCTCTCTTCTTCCTCTCTCTATGGCTCTTTCCCCTTTTCTTTATCTCTGTCCCTCTCCTGTTTCTTTCTTTCTCTCTGTCTCTATCTCTCCATCTCTTTACCCATCTGTCTCCTCTCCTCTCTCTTTCTCTCTCTATTTCTTTCTCTCTCTGCCTCACCCTCTCCAGCTCTCCCTCTCGTTCTCTTTCTACTTCCTTTCTTTCCCTCTCCTTCTCTTTGTCTCTTTCCCTCTCCGTCTCTCCATCCCTATACCCACTTCTCCTTCTTTTATTTCAACTGCCCGAAGTGTGGATGGAATTCGATACAAAATGTTTTGACGGACACAATAAAGATCTGTTAAAAACCAAAAAATCTCCTCTATCCCTTTTTCCATATCTCTCTCTCTCTTTTCTTTCCGTTTCTCCTCTGTGTAGGGTTCATTCATGTGTCTGTGGAACAAAAAGCCCCACCCCCTGCTGTGTGCACCCTGGGCCTGTGTCCAAACTCTCCACTGTTTACTATAATTAACTCATTGTGTTGATTTGTGCCACACCACTGTCTGTTGCACCACGATCATCGCTCTGCACTACACCCGGCTCGCTCTCACACACGCTGTTTCATAAGTGTTTTTCCTTTCACGTTCACATATCAGCATCAGGAAGTATCAAATTATTATCTACACTGCATTACGGACATGTTATAAAGACAAACTCGCCTCTTTTCAATCTTCTGTCTCGAGGAACAGCAGAGAGAAGCTCAGTTAAAGCTTTTATTTTTTGTGTAATACATTTTTGCACATGGTCCCTGTTCAAATTATAGAAATAATGATGCATCTTGTTCTTCAAATTGTAATCAACAAATACATTTGCTTTGCCTGGACTTAAAATATAAACACTTTCAGATTTGACAGAACTATTACCACTGAATAATGAGAAATAAAATAGTAAAAATAAACGTGGCAGTGTTGACAGATTGCTCCTTTCAGTTTGTTGATTTGTTATGTGTGATATATTAAAGAGACACTATTTTCTGATCTATGTTATGATGTTTTCTTCAACAAAAACCTACCTGGAGTTGTGTTTTGTTTCATTCACACATGTTTAACACACAAATCCTACATATTTAAGCTGAGTTTGTCTCTCAAAAATGAATGGAACTGAAACAAAACACAACTCCAGGTCTGTTTTTGAGGAGGTAACAACGTTCTAACATGGCTTAAAGCTCACAAAAGTCGACTTTGTGTAATATAGGACCTTTAAGGAGACTTTCACACTTGCACAAATATCAAAATTTGGACAAAATCTGGACTAGGACTAAACCTGAGCTAAAGTATGACCAAAATAGGACTAAAAATAAACAGTATTTCAGTATAAAATGTTCTTACTACATTTTACTTCCTTGATAATGTCTGTATGTTCATTTTGTCATTAAAACTAATTAAATACAATGGTTAAAAATAGCAGTATACTAGGTTTCAGATGTATAATGATTAAAGAAACACCAATATGTGATATAAAATGTACTGAAAGTGCGAGAAACTGACACTTAAAAGACAAAATAGGTGCAGAACCACTCCTGTAGGTTATGCAAAGGATTGTGAAGCTTTGTTAACGGTGGAAAATGAGTTAATTCATATTTCAGTTTTCACTTTTGTAACTGCAAAACAGTGCAAACATTAACACAGTATGAAATGTAAATGAGAATTGGTGATGTAAGGTCCGGCTCGTGGTTTGGCAGCAGCGTGATGGGCCCATGTGCTTTGGAGTGAGGAGCGATCAATGGCTGTATTGCTTCACTGCAGTAAACTGGTTTCAGACGTGTTCAGCACCATGGACAGCTCCTCTCGGCCTCCACGCGCCCAACCTGAGAAACGTCCCGGATGTAAACAGTTTTTTGTGCTTCCCAGACACTTTTGTGGAATCATTTATCATCACACATTGAGGACTTGCACGGACAGGGAACCCGTCTCCTGTGATTTGCGATAACGATCCCATTTAACACAGAGAGACAGGCCCCTTCAGGCACCCGTACCCAGAAAGCAATGAGGCGGTTGAATTGGTTAGATAGCGCAGCCACGGGGGCACAAAAGGTTTAATTTGGTCTAATCTGTCACCATCTCAGACTGACACCTCGAACGCTCGCGGTGAACGGAGCAAAAGAACTGGAGAAAAAAAAAAAAAAAAGACTATATGGGCTGACACAGGGAAGGTCCTTTGCCCCAAAATGTGAGGGGGGTACCCAGCGTGACCGCGCGGGACAGAGGGACGCGCCCACACCTGTTATAACTACCCACCCTTGACAGTCCAAGAGAGCAAAGCCCCACGGATCACGTCGAGAGAGAAAGAACCGCAAAAAAGACAAGAATTTAACACTGCGTTTAAAAGTTTGGCTTGGT